AACGTCTTCCATTTGAGGATTATGGAGGCCACTGTGCTCTTAGGAACCTTAAGTGCAGCAGAAATTTTTTTGTAACCTTGGCCAGATCTGTGCCTTGCCACAATTCTGTCTCTGAGCTCTTCAGGCAGTTCCTTTGACCTCATGATTCTCATTTGCTCTGACATGCACTGTGAGCTGTAAGGTCTTATATAGACAGGTGTGTGGCTTTCCTAATCAAGTCCAATCAGTATAATCAAACACAGCTGGACTCAAATGAAGGTGTAGAACCATCTCAAGGATGATCAGAAGAAATAGACAGCACCTGAGTTAAATATGAGTGTCACGGCAAAGGGTCTGAATACTTATGACCATGTGATATTTCAGTTTTTCTTTTTTAATAAATTTGCAAAAATTTCTACATTTCTGTTTTTTTCTGTCAAGATGGGGTGCTGAGTGTACATTAATGAGAAATAAAATGAACTTTTTTGATTTTTGGAAAATGGCTGCAACGAAACAAAGAGTGAAAAATTTAAAGGGGTCTGAATACTTTCCGTACCCACTGTAAGTTGACATCATCCTTATTTACAAAAACAGTGCCACATTTACAAGGTTTGGTTACCAAGTGACAACAGGGCCCTTTTATGGTGCTGGAGGAAGGAGTGGTGTTCTGCTTTGTCCTGACAGTCCAGCTTTTAATTTAAGGAGAGAGTGATGGTAGGTGATGGGGCCATCTTTGCTACTATCATCTGTCTTTAAACCCTGCACAGGTCACATCCTCCAGGTATTGGGGAAAATCTGGGAGTCCTGAGATGAGTACCAGGGAGAAAAACTAAATGACTCAACTTCACTTTTATTTTACTTTACACAAGTACGAACAGTACAGAGCACTGCCTTTCCCTGGTGGTTCATCAAACAGAATTAAACTCAAAAAAGCATTAAAAGATCTGAAAGCCCCAGAGCTAGAGATCATTTTTGACTCATTAATGCACCAGATTTCACACATAAGTATGCCTACATAACTTATGAGAACTGCAGGCTGCATTAAAAATATTTACTCTACTTAAAAAACATGAGTTAAAAAACATGAGTATTTTACAAATAAGTTTACAACTACACAGATTGGTTTTGACACATAACAGTAGATGGTGGCAGCTGAGAGTTTTTAGCAGCTATTGCACCATAGAAAGAGAAGCTGGAAGGCAGGTGAAGTTCTGCACACCCTTCAAACTCAGTGATTAGCTTCCTCTGGTAGCAGTGCAGCCTTCTCTTTGATATAAACACAAGTCAAAAGGTCAAAACCTTTTTGCCTGTTGGCGCCACAGAAGGGGGCAGAGTGACCTCTGCTGGTTGAGCTCCCACATAGCAAGAAGGCCGATAAATATGTTAATAAAACTAAAACATGAATTAAATAATATAAACTTAAATAAATAGGCTAACTGCGATCCTAAGCTACATATAACATTAGTTCACTGTCTTAATCTGAAGTTACAGGTCACCAATTGCCTTACAAATGTTTAATTCTCCCTAACAGCGAGAGTTAATATTTTATTATTTTTTATTTTTATTTCAGTTAATAAAGTGTTTTTTTCCACACCCAGATTAGTTTAGTTTTATAACCTACTAAAAACGTTATTTTAGTTCAGTTTCAGTCTATAATCACCTTTCTAATTGACCCACTGCAAATGTTGCACATACAGTTGATGACAATTCTACATGACAGATTCTGCAAAGGCAAAATGAAATATCTGAGCTGCTCATACAACCACACAGAGAAAGCCAACTGCCACCAAGACAAATACCTGTTTTTGAAGGTGACCCACTGAAGTTCTAAATGTCCATGCAAGCCTTTAGGCACTGTGTAGGAGAAAGCTGCATCTGAAGGTGATTGCATGTATTATTTGGAAAGGTACACCAGAGGGCGCCCACACGACCTTGTACAAAGCTGTTTACATATGAGTGCAGAGAGGTTTTGAAACAGCTAAAGCCCTCCTACAGGAACACTTCAGTAATGAAACAAAGATCACAGCAGCATATATGGAAAAGGTTCTCAACTGGCCTGGGGTAAAGGCTGAAAGTGTTTCGTTACTGCAGGACTATGCATTATTTTTGTGGATGCAATAATGCAATGTCAGATTTAGAGGACATGAAAGAGCTGGACATGTCTGCCAACCTGAAAATTGTTGTTTCAAAAACTTCCATTTAAATTAAGGAAAAAATGTTTACATTCTGCATGTGATATTGGGAGAGACACAACCGCAGACCAAACCTTTATGACGTTGTACACTTTGTGGAATATCAAGTCAAAATCTTGTTTGATCCTATTTTTGGTGATGTCCAAACTACTGAAAGGGTTATGCATGTTAAAAGGGATGTGTATACAGCAAAATCTAAGTTGAAGCGAGACAACTTTGCTACAAACGTCTGCGCTGTTAGCAAAGTGCAACACAAGGACACACAAGATGAAAACGTAAGGACAATATCTGCAGCAATTGTTTATTCTGTTTACAAGAGCACAGTATGGATGAATGTCAATGATTTGCCAAGAACAAACATCATGAAAAGATCAACTCTTAAAGGAAAAAGGAGTTTGCTTTGGGTGTCTCAACAGGTCATTTGAACAAAAATTTGATAAGCGCAAAAAAACCTGTGAAAATGCAAACGGAGCCATCCAACAGCTTTACACATTCATGCATAGGCTTAATCTCACTGGGACAAAGTCAATGGAACAAGGTACTACAGTCTTCCAAATGTTTACACACAGAAAACAATGCCATTGAATACAGCAAACATCATCAAACAAGAAGACCTTAAACAGTGGCCTTACCTTGAGCACAATGAAATCCCTGAAATTGATGCCAGCGTGGAGTTATTAATAAGTACTAATGCTTCAAAGTTGGTAAATTGTGAATAGCCAAGGTGAGGGTCCCTTTGCTGTTAAAACCCTATTAGGGGGGTGATCAATGGCTTAGAAAAGGATTGCGAAGACAACATGAATGACAGATTATCTGTGGAATCACTTCAGCTGCTATTGGAGAAGCAGTACCAAAATGACTTCAATGACAAAATCACCGACGACAAAGAAGAAATGTCAAGACAGAAGGCAAGATTCATTGAAATAATGGAACAATCTGTAAACTTAAAGGACGGACATAACAGTTTAAAGCTGACATTCAAAGCCCAGAGGTAACACTGCCAAACAATCAGATCAACGGTGCCTCATTGGACAAAGAAATGAGAAGTTCCACCAAGAATACACAAACTTTCTTGAGGATGATCCAGTGGAAGAAGATGATCCAGAGGTCAAACTGGAGATCTCTACAAACACAGTAACTATTCAAGAGGATAATGCAACCCATCAACTCACACATAGTTGCAAGGTTGCTCAAGGTCAAAAAGACTCTATTGGAGTTGAGTCGAAGAAGAAAGCAACTTGTGATGGTTGAAATGGCTGATCTTTGTTATGTTGACAAGAAAATGTTGGAAGCCAGAAAGTTGTTGGGACGAGACAGTGTATCAACTGAGGATCTATTGGCAGCAGAAAACGCTATCCTTCAGTTCTGTCAGAGGGAAAGATTTGACAAAGAGATTTGTGCAGGACAAGGACAGGAAAACTTGTAAAAAAGTGTAGTCTATCTACAAACTGAATCCTGTCCTAGAGGATGGACTGTTAAGAGTAGGTGGAAGATATCCAGGACTGCAATGCCCGAAGAGGGCAACACACCCAGTCATCCTGTGTAAGATCAGTACATCTCCATGTTAATTCTTAAAAATGTTCATGAACAGACGAGGCATGGTGGGAGAAATTACATCCTCTCCAAATTGAGAGAAAGGTTCTGGGTCACTCATGCCAATGCAGCAGTAAGGAAAATCTTGTCAAGTTCTGCTTTCTGCAAGTGTCACAAAGGAAAAATGTGTGATCAAAAATGGCTGATCTCCCCAAAGAAAGGATTACTCCAGACTTACCTCCATTTACTAATGTGGGAGTGGACTATTTTGGGCCATTGAGGTAAAACAAGGATGTTCCTATGTGAAATGTTATGGTGTTATCTTTACATGCATGGCCAGCAGGGCAGGTCATTTAGAAGTAGCACACTCAGTGGACACAGACTCTTGCATCAGTAAGGGTAATCTTACAGCAGGAGATATCGTTTTGGTTGCAGATGCTATAGCACCACGAAATTCTTGGATGACTGGAATAATTATTAAATCATTTCCAGATAAATCTGGCATAGTCAGATCTGTGCAAATCAAAACCAAAACAAACGTAATTGAAAGAACAATGTAAAAGTGAACAAACGCACCAAAGTGTCACGCCGCCCAAGCAGGGAGGTGACAGCTGTGTGTTGGTGCTTGTTTTGAGTTATTTTTTCCCCTTTTGGAGTGTGTGAAAGGTGCTTGGTGGGTTTTGGTTTTGTCTGTCTTCCTGTGGCGTTCCCCCTCTCTCTCCCTCTCCTTCAGGGCGGATGTGTGGGCCGGGCCCCTGAGAGCTGGGCGTCTTCCTCCAGCTGCAGGCAATTACTCCTTACACACCTGTTTCCCATTTTCATCTGAACCGGTTTTCTTCTTTCTCTGAACCCTGCCATCTCCTCAGTTCCCCGCCGGATTATTAGTGGTATAGTAGGTAACGCTACTAGCAGTCTAACCAGCCTAACCAGCCTCATGAACCATGTGTCCGTTTTTGACCTTGTTTTCCTGTGCCCTGTTCAGAGTCCGTGGAGACCCCGCTCTACCCTGGAAGTCTCGCCGTTTCCCGCCTGCCTAGTTACTCGTCCTGCCTGGCCTACCTCATTCTGTCTCGCCACACCGGAGGAATCCCACCTCGCATCTGTCTACCTTTTTCTTGTGTTCAATAAACTGCTTCCTACCCTCCTGAACCGTGTCTCTGCCTGCATTTGGGTTCGAGCCACGTGAAGTCCTGACACAAAGAGGGCTTTATTTGGTTTTTATTGTAAGATATTTTTGTTGTATTGTCTCCATACATGTATATGTTTAATTGATGTCTTGTAGTACCATGAACATTAGGGGCCGGTTGTGTTGGAGCCATTCTGTATATTGGGATGGGGTGGTGCTGTTCTGCTACAAGTCTACTTAAGACAGGTGTTGATTAGTGCAGGTGTGGCACACAGCAAGGTGCATGGTTTTTGACCGTGAGGCACGGCGTGTAATCATGGAGACTGACTTGAGTTAAGTTTTTATTTAAGAAATGTTTAATTTATTGTTATGTTAATAAATGGATTGGCGTATCCGACTTTAAGTTGAAAGTTTATTATTTTAAGCCACAAGGAAACAGCACGCCCACAACACGCGTGCAAAACAACTTACATGTGCGCCAACACTGTCTGCCATCACGTTTCCATACCTGGAAATTGTGAAATATAAGTTATAAACACAAAAGTTAGTATCTTGAGTATCTACAAAATCTATTTCAAGGTCAAATACACAGAAACAATGTGTCTGTCTCTCTCAGTTCACAAACAGGAAATTTTGGTGCAGCTGAGATTTATACAGGGCTGTGACCAGGGCTGGATTGGTAATCTGTCATACCGGGCAAATGCCTGGTGGGCGGACAAAACTTTGGGGCCGGTGTAACTAAATTATTTTTATATAACCCCGGCCCATAAAGCATAGACAGCGTTTTTTGACATACTTGTACTTACTTGATATTTCCATTTCTACATCACTACATTTTGGGTGAAAACACTGTACTTTTTACTTCACTACATTTATTTTACAGCCATATTTAGTACCTGTTGTTAGATTCATATTTTACATGAAAACACAACAAATACAAACAGTCTATTCATTTAGGTGATGCTTTTATCCAAAGCAACTTACGATTGTTATACATGTCAGAGAGGTCACACAGCTCTGAAGCAACAAGGGGTTAAGTGTCATGCTGAGGGACACAACAGTGGATAGGTCACAGTGGGGATTGAACCCAGGTCTCTCACACAAAAGGCAGGCATTTATCCATTGCGCCATCATCAAGTACAAAATTAGCTTTCTTTTTATTATCCCTCCACTGAGCCCAGCACTGAAAACACTGTCCACAGAATTCCTCGCATTTCCCATGCTTTCCCCTCCTA